ATACAATATATATAATTAGGGGGTCCCCGCTCCATCTCGCCATCAGTTTGAAAATGTTGAAGACCCCTGTTCTAGAGAAGAACACAGGAAAGTGTGGACTCTGGGAGAACAGGAGCACGCAGCATAAATATGCGTCAATCAGGACAGATGCGTACTTTTGACCACATGCTCGTCTGGAGCTGCATTTTAACCTCCTGTTATTAATAGTCTCTACACTGCAAAAACCATCTGAAAATGAGAAAAATGTCTTAAATTAGGTGTATTTATCATGAATTTGAGTAGGTAAATAAGACAATTTGCCAATGGAATGAGTATTGTTAGTCTTAAAATAAGATATTTAGATAATATGCACTTGAAATAAGACAGTGCAATTGTGTTTTCTTATTTTAAATGTAAATAGTCTTGATCCATTGGCAAAATGTCTCAATTACCTCCTCAGTTCAAGAAAAAATGCACTTATTGCAAGAAAAAAATGGCTTAGTTTTCAGTTTTTCGCAGCGTAGATAATTTTAAATTTAATTTTTTTTCATTTATTGGGGAAATAATTGTTGGCATAGTCAGATAAACACAAATCAAATTAACATTTTGCCAAATAAAACAAAAATAAACTAGGCATCATAGCCAGCAGTCCTTCACACACGGCTATGCAGAGAGAGGGCTGCTGCAGACGGGCTAACATTAACCTGGCTGCCTCAGCCGCAGTCCTCTCAGCTTCGTCTTTTTTTTCTAAAATACGCAATAAATCAGTAAATTGGCCATATAGTGAAGCTTAAAGTATAATGTTCTCACCTCAAAAGATCTTAAAATGTACTTTTATTGAACAGCAACAGAAAAGAGAACATTTAACCTAATACTCTGAGCTCTGTGAGCGCTAACCTTGAAGCTGCTGCCACGGTGCATGCTGGGACAGCTGTCAATCTTAAGAACGGACAAGTCTGCTCTGATGCATGCTGGGTAAAAAGGGAGGGGCGAGAACAACATCCGGGGACTTTGTCCGTTTTCTGTCTTCTTGTGAATTGGACCAGTACTAGGGCTGAGGCTGATGCTGTTTCACGAGAACGCGCTCGCGTTCTTGTGAATTGAGAAACGGCCGATAACGATATTAGAGAGGAACGTTTTCATCAACCAATCAGATTTCAACTAGTGACAATCTGCATTTTAGATGACCTTTGGCTCAAAGTTTTTCTCTCCATTTAATATCAAAGTCTGATGCTAAATGGCGATACTAAGAATTCCTTCACAAAGACAGAAGGATGGATTTTATTTAGAAATAATCAGCATCTCTGAGCGTGATTTAGTTTATTTTCATGCTTTATGCGCCATTTTATCTTATAATTAGATGCATAT